CAGCGGGCACATGCGAAGAGCAGCCGGTTCTCACGGAGCCGCCGCAGGTGGCTTTCAGGTGGTGTTTGAATGGCCTAGCGCAGAGAAACTGGCAGAACGCACAGGTAAGACGGGACAAACAAGGCACCGTTCTGCAGAAATTGCAACGCTTTACGGGCCTCCACCTGCGGTGAAACCCACCAGAGGGCAGGTTCATCCCTTGGTGCCCAGCGTTAACTGCAAATATAAGGCCCAATCACATCCCCCAGAATTGAGATTTTTGGCAGCTCATGTGCTTCACTGCGAGATTCCTGCTGTTCTTCCCCTCTGCCAGCCCTGCAAGTGACGCTGCAGGTTCCAGTGTCATCCACAACAGCACGAGCTCTGAGCAAGGCACAAACAAAACGGTGCTGTCATCTTGATGTTTTAAAAGCGCACATGGTCCCCTTCCTGTCTAAGCCACCAGGTGGAATTGGGCCAACACCCTCTCCCCAACTTACAATTTGTTAAAAGTCTGATGAGCATCTTCTCTGGGAAAAATAAGCAGATCAAGTGCTACTTAAAAATCTCCTGTGGCCACCACCATATGGAAGAGGAATATTCTTATGTTCCTCTCAATGATAACACAAGTCTCCTATCAAGAATGTTCTAACTGGTGTTAGGGCCCATTTGTCTAGCACTTTGTTTGTAGTTTATAAGGCCCAAGAGCTTTGATGCCCAAGAGGCCTAGGCTCAAATTCTGCCCTAGTCACTTCCCAGCACTATATTTTTCAAAAAGCTTCTTACTCTCTCTGAATTTCTGTTCCCTCAACAGCAAAAAAGACATGAGGGAACCCACATACCTCACTGGGTAACATGAGCATGAAATGACATCAGAAGCCACACAAAGACAAATGTCCACAGCAATTTAATTTGTAAACACCAAAAAAACTGGAAAACGGCCCAAATGTTTATCAGCAGATGAACAGGAATGAACTAATTGGTCCCTCCGTAAAAGAGAATACCACTCAGTGATAAAACAGGAATGAACTACTGACACACGGAACAACATAAATGAATCTCAAAATAAGTAAGCTGAATGGAAGAAGCCAGGCCAGACTATTTATAGCAAGTTCTATAAAATAAAATCAGTGGCAGAAGGCATGACAGAGGTCAGATGATTGGTTGTCTGGGAACAGAAAGGTAGGGAAAAAGGAGGGACTGCAAAGGAGCAGGAGGAAACCGTTGGGGGAAAGGGAAGGTTCTGCATCTTGACGAGACGGTGGTTTCGCAGGCTGACCCTGTAAATACTTGCAGTGCTTCAATTATACTTCGACAGCATTGAAAAGTTAGGGGGAAAATCAGGTCAGGAATATAATGCCCCATCGTAGGACTTGGCACATCATAGGCTCCCCACAAACGTTGGCTCCGTTCTGGAGCATTAACGAATGATCCCGTTAGAACTTCTGGAAAAGAACTCGAGAGGCCGCCAGGGAAACCAGTCGGTATCCGCGGCATTCACTCTGCAGGCATACTAGAACCCGGCCAGTCGGACACGCTGTGCTCAGCCAGGAAGCGTGAGTGAGAAAGAAGAGCAGAGAGGTGAGCCAGGCTTGGTCTCAGCCCTCGAGGAAACACAAGTGTAATATATAATGTAATAAAGTGCCACAGGATGATCCTGACAAACTACTGGCATGCAGAAAAAAGTAATCCTGACAGGATGGATGTCAAGAAGGAGCAGGAGTCTGGTGAGCAGTGAGGGGGTGGGGCAGGCCGTGGGCTAATCAGGAAGCCGAGAAATGAGGGTCCTAGGCAAGGGGTGAGGGGAAGCAGACAAGGCCAAGGCCACAGCACATGTCCTCCTGGAGACAGTTGGGGGAGGGTCTGCAAAGGGCCAGACCAAGCCTCAAAAAGCCCTGAGCACCAGCAGGAACCTCCACTTCATCCACACAGGGGAACCAGCCACAGGGTTCAGCCTGCCCAGATTTGTGTTTGGCACAAACAGGTCCTATCTAGAAGGCCACAGAGCAATTTGTTGAGAGTTCTAACATTCCTATCTTTCAACTCAATAATTCCAAAGGAAATAATCAGAAATATGCACAAATATTTATGTCCAGCCTGGCTTATCACAACATTATTTATAACAGCCCGAAGCCCAAAATAACTCTAATATCCACTGAAAGGGGACTGCTAAATAAATTATGGTATGCTGAATGATTAAACCATGTATAGCCATTAAATCATATTTTTGGAACATATGGAACAACAGGAGGCACGCCTCGCTATAAAATGATAAGTTGCTAAAATGCAGGATAGAAAAATATACATTGAGTATTCATTTAACAAATATTTATTAATGTCTACTGTGTGCCAGGCATTGTTTTAAGGACTGAGATGGAGCAGAGGATAAAACAGACACGGTCCCTGCACTGTGCTCCTTAGGAGGCCTTCTATCTCCTCTCGAAGGAAAGCAGACAACAAACAGAGAGACAGATAACAATGAGCAAAATACAGCAAGTAAGATGGTAAGAAGTGCTGTGGAGAAAATCAAGAGGGGAAGGCATGGGGATTGGAGGATAGATGGCAATTCTATTCTTTTTTTCACTGCTTTTTAGAGAGAGGAGGAGAAACATCAATGTGAGAGAGAAACATAGATTGGCTGCTTTCTTGCAAGTGCCCTGACCAGGGCTCGAACTTGCAACCTTTCAGTCTACAAGACAATGTTCCAACCCACTGAACCACACTGGCCAGGGCTAGGCAGAAATTTTAAAAAGTCAGGGAAAATTCCTACAGAGAAGGGGGATAAGAGTTTGAGTGAAGGGTATACCTGGGAGGACTTCCAGGCAGAGGCAACAGGCAGTGCCAAAGCCCCGAGGAGGCCCAGGGACTTCTGGAAACATCAAGGCACAGCGGCAGGACACGCAGGACCAACAGCGGGAGAAGGAGGGCAGAGGGAAGCCAGGGTCCCTGGGGGTGAGGGGGCCACGGCAGGGCCGTGAGCAGAAGGGCGATGCGAACGCTAGGACAAGCGCTGAATGCAGGGAGGTCGGTTGGGATTTTTAAAAATGTTTCCCTAACATTTTATAATGGGTATAAGTTCATTTCATAATCAGAAAAAGAGACAATTGAATCAAAAAGAGCACAACGCAGAAAACAGTGCGGGTGCTGTGAGTGGGGCACAGCGAGGCAGATGGACGGACAGACAGACAGACGAGGAGGGTAGGGAAGGAACTCGGGCAAGGACGCAGTGAGAAGACAGGGGGTCGGCACCCATCAGTCTTCTCAGTAACAGAAGGAGTAAACCACAGCGCTGTATGTATATATGTAGGTATATTCACACACACACACACACACACACACACACACGGACGCATGTATATGTATACAAACAATTGCTCCATAATTGCAGCACCTTGACAATCAATTTGTAATATCTCCATATATTTCCTTCCCATCTTTCTTCCTATACATGCTTGTGGTGTTTTTCCTTAATCATTCTAAATACAATGCCTAGGATGTCATGAGCACTCAAATATTCACTGAACAAATAAATGATGGGTAACCAGACACTCCAAATAATTTTGTGTTTGGATTTGTTCGTGTTATATCAGCTCTATTCCAAGCATTTTCAGAAGCAGCTTTACTGGGCATGGGTGACATGACGGAATGGAAACTGTGGCTAAGGAGGCCTGGTCACAGAGGACGAAGGTGTCAAGTTCAGCTGTTTAAGAGGATGGCGGTAACATTACTCATCACGGGTGCCAGCAGAAAGCCATCTGATGAGGCAGTAGCTGGGTACAGTTTGGGGGACTAGGAGGGGTACACAGAAGGTGCCCGCAGAGACACCCAATATGCATCTCTCTCTGGACTCGGGAGCCTTGCTCAGCATGTAAGTGGTCACCGCAGGAGTGGTCCAGGAGGAGGAAGAGGAGTGGCAGTAATACCCTACTACGTGCCACACTGACCCTACTATGTGCCACACATTGAGCTCGCCCCTTCTAATCATCACAGCCGCCCTAGGAGGTGGATATGCACTTGCTCATCAGATAGCTGAGGACGCTGCAGGCCCAGCCATGGCCCAGCTACTCCACAACAGAGCCAGGACGCACACCTGCGAACATGAGGGCTTGTCCCATGAATTCTCTTTCTGTTACTAGAAGCCTAAAACACACTCAAAGCCCAGGGAGGAGGTGTCTTAAGATGCTTTAGTTTTGTAGCACCTGGTTTTTGCTCCCGACTTCCAGGCCCCCCGACCCCTGCTGCCCCAAAAGGAAGAATGCTCCTTTCCTCTTCTGAAAACATACTTTATGTGTTTTCCGACTCACAATAACAGCGTGTTGAGTTTTTTCCCCCATGTGTATGAGTCTTCTCTGTCACCAGGTGAGCAGCTCCAGGGAACCTTCTCCCTAGAGCACCAGCCCCATGCTCTGCACAGTGAGTGCTATGCACAATGAGTGTTCAGCAAACGCTCTGGGATGACAGCATGGACCACCCCACTTGCCAGTCACCCCAGCACCAGTGGGATGCTGGTGGTGGCAGCTACCCAGAAACCCTCTGGCTCAGGCGAGGCAAAGCCAAGCCCAGATTGATAAGCACCCTTGAAAGGCGGCGGAAGAGTGTGCAGGTGAACTTGGCTGGACAGACAGACGGTGTCAGTGTTAGATAAGGCAGGTTTCCCTTTCCACGTGCTTGGCATGAACCTCGGTCTGCAAACAGGTTGGCCCATAGGCCAAATTCAGCCCACTCAGGTGTACTAGTTGGCTCATGTATGGTTTTAATTTATTATCATTTGAATTAGTCACTATCTTTTAAATTGTGAAAGGGGGAAACCCTTTTCCCCCCAAAAATCTGGATTTCTGTAACAGTCCCCTTGGGACAGGCCCACCCTGCCCACCTCCCCAGTATGTCCATGTTGGGTCCCCCCTTGCCCCACACTGATCAGGCAGCCTCAGCCGAAGACCCTGCCCAGGGCGGGGCTGCAGTGTGAGGCGGGACCCAAGCTCACCCGGCACCAGGAGCACCGGGCGGGCGCCTGTACTCACCAGCACTCAGGGTCGTGAACTCCAGGAAGCGGTATTCATAGGACACATCTATCTTGGTTTCCACCTGAGGCCTCTTCAAAGTCGAATAGATATTTCCAGGCCGTCTGTCATCACGCTTCTCTAACTTGTTCAATCCGCAACCCATCTCAGCAGCTGCCAGCAAAAGGGGAGGAGGAGGGAGTTGGAGAGTGATTTTGTTTTTTGAGATTTTGTTTTTAAACACCATAGCATAAAAAGACCTCATAATTTCCCTGAAGGACACATTAAGGACCTCAGCCTTTACGGTAACTAGAGTGTCTACGACCCGCGTACCAGACGACCTTGTGCTCTGCACCCAGGCTGGCTCCTCTCCTCTCAAGACATCACTACCAGCTATCCTGTGATTTTTTTAAAAAAATGTCACCGAAAGCATACCTGCTGTACAGCTCTTTTTCATTATCTGAGGACAATCCTACCTCCGAGTGCCTCAGTTCCACTATGATCTGTGTGTGTGGTTTAAAAATGGGATCTAAAGAGCCATACAGTGCATTATTGTGTCAGCCCATCTTAGAGAGAGAGGGAGACAGACAGGGAGAGAGAGAGGTGTCGCCTTCGCTGCGGTTGCTAAGAGAAAATGATAAGTTGTTGTTACAATTTCCAAACTCCAAAGTCCTTTCTCCCCTCAACAGTAATTGTTCAGACAGGAGTTTATATTCATGAAACATGTCCAAAAGGAGATGGCAGCACTTTTATGGGCCTTGTCTACAGGTCCCGCTTTTTTCTTTTTTAGACCAAACCCCAGGAATAATGCCACGCTGCCACACTCTTAGAGAGTCATTTTAGACCGACATAAAAACTGGCTGAACACTAATAGCAGGGCTAGAGAAACTGGAAGCAGAAATCTATGTGTGTATTCGAGTGAAGATGCATAGCCACAGTTTGAAAAGAAAATGGGGAAATGTTAAAATAACGTGCATACTAGGGTGGCTGAGCTTTCCGTCTTCCAGGGGGCGGAAACGAAGGGTCTTCGTTTATTTATTCGGGCAGAATGACTTTCACAAAACGACTTGTCACCCCCTCTCCCTCCCCCTCCCCAGACTTCGGGGTGTGGGGAGGAGGTATTTTCCTGTTGTGCACCGCCACGCATGACCGACGCTTCCCCCTCCCCGGGGTGCTGGTGCTGCCATCAGAACATATTTCACAAAAATTTTCACCGGCCAAGAATATCACAAACAGAAACGTGGTAACCGCTTCCTTTTGGAGATAAGAATTTCCTTTTGCTCCATCCATTCACAAGGTACCCAGCTTCCTAAGGCAATTTGGCAAAGTCCAGAAAAAACAAAATGAACCTCAGAAAAGGGGGGGGGAGAGGGTGGCGAAGCGACAAGCAGGCTCTACTTTTCAGTAAGTAAAAGTCTAGAAGGATGGATGAGAACAGGAAGGCTTACTTATGCCTTAATAAGGGAACATTAGCGTCCAAAGGGCCGGAGCAGACATGATTTATGTGCAATCTGCATGAACTGATTACTTGTAAAATACTCTACTTCTGCAAATTTAATGGCTGATTTGTACAGAGGCTGCATACTTAACTGCTAGAAAGCAAGCCGGCTGGCATCTGCTTGGACAAAGCAGAATGAAAATGGAGAGGGGAGGTTCCTAAGTACTGGGGACCAGGTAGCCCTGGTGAAATGAGCACTGTTACCACCAGAACAGAACTGAAAATAACCCAGAGGCTCACCAAGTCACTCACTTCCTGAGAAGGATGGAGTGTTTGAGAATCTCCAAGAAGAAGCCTCTTCCTCAAAAATCCTCCCATTCTTGTTATCCTGTTAGGGAAGTCCTAGCATTAGAGATTCATTGCTTTGAAACCAGACTCACTCTATCACAGCATCTCTTTGGAAACTACAAAAACCTCCATACAAAGGGCAACAAACTAAGCTCCAGGTAGCCACTAACACTTTAGTCTGATTAACAGTAATTTCTTCTATTTCGGACTGGTTCCCTGACAGCAGAAAAAAAGGAGGAGAGGGTTACCCACATGAGTAAGAAAGATTCAGGCAAGGCTGGGGCAGGTGGAGGCGGAGGGGTGCCAAGGAACATTAGGAAGACTCTCCCAATTTGAAACTTTGAGTTAAGGTTTCAATCAAACTGTCCCAAACTTGAGGTCTCTGCCAAGTTCCCTCCAAAGGGCACTGTGCTTGTTTCAAGGATATGATGCAGTCCTAGGCAAATCATTTATGCCATCAGTCAGAGATAAGATAAACAGTACCAAACAGTAACAAAACTGTGATATCAGTGAATCTGTGGGATCTCAAACGTTAGAGACTCATTTCTTTGGAGTGTGTGCAACCCTGGTTAAGCAACTGCTCTTACAGCACTGATCTCTCTGGAAAAGGAGACATGCAAAGAAGTTGCTGGCCACCAAAACCTGAGTGTGAATTAGCACCTCTCACTCTTTTGTGTCCAAGACCCTCCTGTGTTCCTTTTAGTTCCTTCTTTCATTCTTCTACCCAACACCCACCCCCGTCGAAACAGAAAAGACTTTTACATCAGTCCAAGAATATAGTCACTATATTCAGTCACTACTGTGCTGAAACAAGTCACAGAAATGTAGCTTACAAAAAGAGAGAAAATAGGACACTGTATCATAGTGCCTTACATTATTGTCGAGTTTCATAAACTTTACTGTTCACTATAGGAGGTTTCCAAATCATGCTCACATGAGAATCTCCTAAGATGCTTGGGGCAAAAGCTGGGTCTGGGCCTTTGAGAGGTGGGAAGGGAGAGGGGAACAGGCTTGCCCAACACAGGCAAGATGATTTCTGGTGTGGCTGCACTCACTCCCTCCTGTCGACAACATTCGGGCACATCTTCCTCAGGGGTCAAAGCCTCTAGCTAGTCAGGCAGAAGGTAAATGATAAACAGGATGGTTTTTAAATGTGGTCCCCAAGCCCTCTGACACTGCTGTTACCCAGGTGGGGTCTACATCACCCCCTCGGAGCCTGGGCTCCATGACTGCTGGACCATCAGAGCACGGCGGAGCGACAGAACCGGTTTCTGGATCCGGGAACTGGGAGCACCCACTGCCTGCATCTTGGGACGTCTACTCTTGAAACCCAGCCACCCTGCCATGAGGAAGCCCAAGCAGCCCCAAGGAGAGGCCCATGTGGAGAGGAACCGAGAGCCAGCACCAACTTGCCAGCTGCCTGGCCAGGGAGCCACTTAGGGAGCCACTTTGGGAGCAGAGACATGCTGTTTCCTTCAAGACCTGCCAACACAGAAGATTCCTGAGCAAAATACACCAGTATTGCTGTTTTAAGCCTCTGGGTTTTAGGGTGGTTCATTATGCAATCTGTAACTCACACCCCAAGTTTGCTCAAAATGACCCCGGCCAGCCACCTCCTTGGTCAAGTGCCCAGGGAGGCTGGCCTGCAGAGAGGGGCCCTGTTTTAGCTCTTCACCCTTGGGAGGATATCTAGGTTGTTTCCAGTTTGCGTGGATGAATAGAATGGCTATAAACCTCCATGGAGAGGTTTTTATGAGGCGTTAAGTTTTTTCTGTAGGGTGACACCTAGGAGTGGGATTGCTGGGCGGTATTGTACGTGCAGGGTCCTGTCAATGAAGAACAAGTCCCTTTACACACTCAGGGTGGCCAGATGCTGACCCCGCCAGAGGCATGGTGGAGGATGAGACCCTCTTGGGGACCAACAGACTGGCCCCTCCGCCTCTGGTTCGCTCTGCGGCGTCAGCTCAGTGAGTGAAAACGTGAGCAGAAGTGCCACTCGCAGTCACTTCTCCTTTCGTTGTTGTCGTCTATTATGTAAAGGACACATGCTAAAGTCACCTGTGCGTGACGGAATGTTCCCAGTGCTTTTCCATGGCCCGTCCAACCCCTACCGCTCTGCCCCTCCAAATTCCTATAGTCACTTCACATCGACACCTACTGTGAGTCAGGTTATATGTTTTATGTGTGAGTTGACTGTTGGATAAGCTTTGATTATTTGACAATCATTTGTCAAATGATTTCCTTCTTTTTATCTCTTTGCCTTCCCAGGGGACATCCCTGGAGCCATGTGTATGGCATGGTACCTTGGTAGCATCAAGGTACCAAGAAAAACCATCCATGAGGTCTTAAAAGGCAGAGGACACAGAGGAGGTCTTTTCCCATTCCTGTGGTAAGACAGTAGGAAAAGAGCCAAATATACTTAGGCCCTGGCTGGTGTGACTCAGTGGACTGAGTGCCAGCCTGTGAGCCGAAAGGTCACCAGATCAATTCTGGGTCAGGGCACACGCCTGGGTTGCAGGCCAGGTCCCAGGTTGGGGGGCGTGTGAGGGGCAACCTATCAATGTATCTATTGTACATTGACGTTTCTCTCCCTCTTTTTCTCCCTAATAAATAAAATCTTAATTAATTAAAATTTTATTTAATGCTTGATTTAATTAATTTAATTGTATTACTTAAGTTAATCTTTCATTAATAAAATATATAAATCTTAAAAAAATATATACTTAGAGTCATCTGGCAGAAATTGGCTGAAAGTAATTAGGAACTGGATGCTGACTAGGGAAGAAAATAAAGTCATCACCAGGAAGTCCTGAGACCCAACCGCAATGAGAGGATGCACATTAGACGTTGCAAATGGCCATGAAGCAAAGACCCCTCAGATGGTGACATTCTGGAAAATCAGTTCTTTTTGCATTAAACCTAGAATGGGGTATGTCTTTGGTACGTAGCAGACCAGCTTCATGCAAAAATTTTCAGCTCTATGAGAGAGGGAACTTATGTTCCAAATTCATGCAGTCATTCATTCAACGTGCATTTGGTGAGGTCTGCTTTGAGTCAGGGGCTCAATTAGGAAATACAAAAAGGGGGAGGTCAGGCCCTGCCCTCAAGGAGATGCAAAGTGGAAGGAGGAGAAAGGCAACGAGCAGATAGATGCACCCAGAGCAGCGAGGCTGGCTGCTCGGGAAATCTGGGCGGAGTGCAGGGCATTCAGAGAGAACTACTGTGACAGAAACAGAGAGCACACCGCCACAGACTGGCCTCAGAGAAAGCTGATCGGCAACGGGGCACAATGTCCTGTGTCGTTTTAAATGTTGAAATTTATTTTTTTTAATTTTAAAAGGATTTCTAATTTGTTTCTGAAATGCTTCCCAAGATGCCTATAAAACAC